ACATTTCTGCTCCTGGAAATGAGTTATTAGAGAAGGATCAATTGAAAGGGACGATGATAAAGAATCAGGTAGGAGGGAGGTTGTGTAAATAGGAATCTGTGCTGTGGGAAGGATAGAGAACCTGTACTGTCTCCTGGGAGCTGAGGTATTTCTGTTTTCTGTACATGGGAGAAGTTTGTCAAAAGGAAGTTTTCTTGCTTTGACTTAAATGCATTTTTTCCCCCTTGTATGTATACCTGTAATCAGAGACAGCACCTGATGAGATATTCCCAGTATAAAAAACCCCAATCAAAAATGGAGATAGGTAGCTACTTTTCCTTTTTTCCTTCCTCACTCCTAAACCTTGTATTAAATCAAGGAGCTGATATTCATTTGTCTCCAATTCCTTGCTCCTAACTGCGAAACTACATAATGAAGTTTAATATATAATCTGAGAAAAGGGATACACCAGTGATTCATTCTTCATTTATTATTTTTATGTTCTTGCTCTATCTTCCTAATCGTAAATATTTTACAGTGTGTGTTTCAAATCTTGCTTTGTTATGCATACTCTTATATCCAATATAATAGAAAGAGATCTAGACTTACCACATCTGCTTTTATGCTCTTCTGCCCACACTGTTAGTGTGAACTGTGGCAAGTCACTTGAGAATGAATCTATATTCAGAGTAGGACAGAGGCAAGAGAATTGCATGGGAGAGGAACAGGAGTCTAAAATAAACCATACTTGGAACTAACACTATTCCTGGATCTTTCAGCAATATAGAAAAACTAGTTTATTTCTTAGGGCAGTTTGAGTTGTGTGTTCCATAACTTGCAACAATAAACATCCTAATTGTTTCAGTTTAGCAATTAGCAATGAAGGAAGAGCAGACTCACTTTCTCTGGCATCATTCTTTTGAATACAACCACTTTCAGACCTCCATATGAAAGTAAATTCCCTATTTGTTCCACAGGAGATTTGTTGCAGCATTTTCTCTGCAAATGTACCAGATATGCATTTTCATTATGAGACTGATTTCTCATGCAAGTAGAGAAAAAAAAGTTTATATTGTTATAATTCCATATTAATAAGATTTTATGTATGAAATATTTTATCATAGAATGTACAGCATATGATTACAGAATATAGGCAGTCATGAATTGAATGACATAAAATTAGAAATTAGCAAGTCTTATTTTAACAGCTCATGATAAAGAATATCATTGTCATTCTTTATCATTAAATATCTTTAAAGAAAAATTTTCGACTGTAGTCTAATAAAGTATAAATATTTACTCAGCCCCTAGTATGTACAAGGGCCTATGCCAAACATCTTCAGAGTACAAACGGAGAGTTTGTAGAGATGCCTTCTCCCAAGATAGCCAAAATCTACACAGAAGATGAGGTGCGTACGAATTACAAGTGAGAAATCAGATCACATCTAGCTGGTTGTTAAATTAGGCCTTAACCTCTAATTCAGAGCAGAAACATATCAGTAAAGACTGGATAAATCAGTGAGACACTTCCTGATTTTTGTTGGGTCATGGCCAAGAATTTTTTTTTCTCTGTATTTTTTTATTCAAGCATAGTTCATTTACAATATTTCACATGCACAGCAAAATGAGTCTGTTGTCGGACGTGACTGAAGTGACTTAGCAGCAGCAGCAGCATTGTACATATTTGGGTATATATATATATTTTTTTTTCCTAATTCTTTTCCATGAGACGTTATTGCAAGATATTGAGTATATTTCCCCATGCTATACAGTAAAGCCTTGTTGTTTATACACTTTATGTATGGTAGTGTGTATCTGTCAATCATGTGCATGCTAAGTCACTTCAGTTGTGTCTGACTCTTAGTGACCCTATGGACCATAGCCCACCAGACTCCCCTGTCCAAGGGATTCTCCAAGCAAGAAGATTGGAGTGGGTTGCCACACCCTCCTCCAGAGGATCTTCCCAACCTAGGAACTGAACTTGTGTCTCCTATATCTCCTGCATTGGCAGGTGGATTCTTTACCACTAGCCTCTCCCAGGAAGCCCGTATCTATTAGTCCTACTCCTCATTTGTCCCTTTCCCCCTTCCCCTTATGGAAACATGTTTGGTTTCTATCTGTGAGTCTATGTCTGTTTTGTAAATAAGTTCACTTATATTATTTTTTAAAAATTCCACAAATAAGTAATATTGTATATTTGCATTTCTCTGCCTGACTTTCTTCACTTAGTATAATAGTCTCCAAGAATGTTTTTCTATGAAAATATTAGGTCAAATGACATTCAATATCCTCAAGGTTGAGAACCCTCATGGTCTGTAACCATGGCTCCCATTCTTAAAACAAGTGCTTTTGTCATTGTATTTATGATTGCATTTAGAAGTTTCCTTCATTAACTATTTTCTGTCCATTTTATAGATTGTGGATATAAATCCAGCATATATTCATAGACATTTAACAGTGTTAAAATAATGAACCACTGATTGGGATTTAATACATTGTAAGAAAGGTGTTTCACATGGGTAAATTGACTTCTAGAAAGGCCTATTGTTGAACTGGAAAGAGTTGAAAACTTGGAATCAAAAAACTGTGGATTGTTTCTCACCTTTCTGATTTAATAGTTTTTTGGATTTGGTCTTTTTTTCAGAGTTTTAGATTTCTTGTACATAAAACACAGATAATAATAATATCTATAGCACCAAAATATTGGTGATAATTGTGTTTCCATCCAAAATATGGAATATGAAAATACTTGTAAGTTGCATGCATTTATATGAATATTAGTTATTACTGCCATTTGTCCTAGAAAGTTTCCAGATTTCTATATTAATAGCTGGGGTGAAAATTTATAAAACTCCTTTCTGGTGAAAGATAGATATAAAAGAATCAAAAACTATAAAAAACTTGGTCACTGATGACTAACATTTGTCCAAACTTGTCAAACTTGTAACAAAAAAGTGTTTTGTTTTTTTAATACTGTAAAGAAAATAAATGCTTTGGTCATCCAGTATTAGGGAAAAGCCTCCACACAAAGCTGCTTCTAAAGTATCAGCAGATGTTAAAGTTAGCTTGTTAGAGCTCTGAAGATTATATGAGGAAAAACTTCACAAATGGCAAAAGAAAGACATCTAGCCATGTGGAAGAGTATAGCACAAACTGTGATCTTCTCATTTCCAATTTTGTAGTCAGTTTTGTTTGGTACTAATGTCAGGCAATGAAGCTCTCAGATCTATCAGAAAAGGTGATGTAAGAACAAAAAGGAAATAGAGTCGCTGATCATATAACTCCTCAAACTGAATTTTAATATGTGTGCAATTCTGAAAACTGGGTTTGGAAGGATGAATCAACAGCCATATTCTTTCTAAAAAGCAAATTTTTATAAATGGAGATTTTGAAGCATGAATTAACTAAACAAAAATTTAAAATCCTGATGACATGAGCGACTAAGTTCAAGAACAGTACAACTCTGTGCTAAAGAGGTGTAGAAAATTACATGTCTTCCTGCTTATTGTTGCTAAATCTAAGAACTAAGTAACACTCATAAAAATTATGATGCATGAAAATTTTAGTATCATCTTATTTTCATGCAAACTACTTTCATATGTAGAAGAAAGAAGGCACAGTGAAGATGATAGGAGATTTTTCATTCACACATCATGAACTATTGCTCTTTTTATAATAAAATACGTTAGTAAAGGAAAATTGATTTTCCCTGGAAAGAAGATATTTACTGTAATATTTCACTTAAACTGCAAAGAACAGTTAATGATCAATAATTCACTGGGAACCATTTTGAGGAATGTAAATGACTAGTTTGCTTGTTGTGTTATTGTCCAATTCATTCTCCATTGATTTATATTAGTCATTTTTTTAAACCTTGCTCATATGTGCAAATGCTATGGGTTTATATAATGTTGATGGATCATGTGATTCCGTGTAACATTAAAATATGTTAAAATAAGTACACAAAGAGGGATTCTAGATGCATTTCCATCACAGTAGCAGCCAGGAAAGCATGTATGTCATTTTTTCTGCTGAAGAAAATATCTTTTTGTCCTATTTTCATTCTGCCAAAGTGAAACAGGGTCCACAATTTAATGATGTCCAGAATCTTCCAAGTAGAGAAATATTTCTCTGAAGATGGGTAGTATTAAGATAGAATTTCTAACTGAAGTTAAACTAATTTTTTTTCTAAATATATAATTTTTCTACCAGCTTCCTAATTAATATTTGGTTTTTATGAAGTTTATTAGTGAAATTGCATTCAAGATTGGAGGAAAATTGATGGAATATTTCACAAGTGTTGTCAGAGTACAGAATGAGAAGAATGTCATAGCCACCATTCCATTTCTCTGACTACTGAAGAGATGGGAAAACGAACAATCATTTTGTTGATAAGGAAACTTCTAACCCTCTGGCAGACACATGCAATTGATGCTCATATTCAATATCTATGTCCTAGTCATTCATTGAGGATCTTCTATGTGTCTGTCGCTTTGCTAAAAGTTATGAAGGCAATGAAAAATCCGAGGTCAAAGGGGCAAGGAAAGACAATAGCAGAGAGATCATCATGTTGCAAGTGCGCACACTGAGATAAAGTTGTTGTTTTTCTTCTTCTGAAGTTTTTCATGACTGCTGTCACCAAGTATGCCTATAGCTCTCCCAAACAGCAAAATGTAGCATTTGTACTGTTTATATTTTTTACTATATTTTCACTTTGTAGCACTGTTGCCCCATGATGCAGATTCCTTGATAACTGCATTTTCACTCCTTCACTGACCCCATCACACTTAGCACAGTGCTGAGTGTATGTTCAGCAAATTGTTAGGTTAAATGTGAAATTGTCACCCAGCCCCACACTGGGCTTCCCTTGTGGCTCAGCTGGTAGAAAATCTGCCTGCACTGTGGGAGACCTGGGTTCGATCCCTGGGTTGGGAAAATCCCCTGGAGAAGGGAAAGGCTACCCACTCCAGTATTCTGGGCTGGAGAATTCCATGGACTACAGTTCATGAGGTCACAAAGAGTTGGACATGACGGAGCAACTTTCACTTCACTAACCCACCATCATGTAAATATAGTACGTTGAAGGTAAGTCTATCTTTTGCAGTTGACAGAATATAAATGTCTTCTAACATGCTCTTTTTGACAGATGTCATTGAGATACTTAGTCTGGAAGGAACCTTTACCAAGACTGGCACATAAACAGAGCTGAGTTATAAAGAGAGCAAAGAATAAGGAGGACTAGAACTTTTAGAACAGGATTTCCAACCTCCGCAACCTAATGTCAGATGATTAGGCATGAGGAGGGGGAGCTAAAGTAATAATAATAGAAATATAGTGCTATATTTAGTGCTATATTTATATATATAGTGCTATATAATAAATGTAATGTGCTTGAATCATCTCAAAAACATCTCCCCCACGCTGTCTGTGGAAAACTGGAAAACCATGAAACCAGTTCCTAGTGCCAAAAAGTTTGGGGACTGCTGATTTAAAGCAAAGATTCTCTCAGGACTCTTTGGATTCAGGCAGACAAAAAAACAAAATTGAAGCAAAAATTAAAAAAAAATACATTATATGAGTATAGGTTTCAATGTAGCAGTTGCTTGAGAACTTCTAACAAGAGGGATAAAAGTCTGCAGTCTGATTGGAAGGCGATGGGGAATTAACACCAAATATGCATAGCACTTTATTTGAGATTGACACTATATTTTTTTTTTCCCAGTCAAAGAATCTTTAAACCTGGCCCGTTCAACCCTGCTTGGAATTGTCTCTAGGCTTGTGCCTTGCTAAAAAGGCAAGGAGGGGAAGGAGGCTCTTATTTTCTAGGTTTTAAAGGTATTTATTACCAAAGCACTTCATAGTTTCCTGAACTTCATAATATTGACTTCTTTAGGCAAATATAACAAATTATATAAGTAAGCACACTTTGTTAGTTTCATTTTATTTTAAACAAAAAATCACATTAAAAAAATCACATTTAACTTACAAAATTATTTAATTGCTATTTTCTATATAGTACCAATAAATATATAATTGTGTTGTCCTATTTAAATTCAAGTAAAAGAAACATTTCCTAACTATTAAAATTTAATCAGTCATTGATAAGAGGTAATACTTTCTTTTTTTTATTTTTTTATTTTTATTAGTTGGAGGCTAATTACTTTACAACATTGCAGTGGTTTTTGTCATAGATTGAAATGAATTAGCCATGGATTTACATGTATTCCCCATCCCCGTCCCCCCTCCCACCTCCCTCATAAAGACCATTACAGTAATACTGTCTTGATTGAGAACTTTAGATAGCTATCCATAATCTGAGTAAATGCATTAAAATTTTTTGGCAAAATCAAAAAAGACATATTTTCTTAAACAGGTGAAAAAAGTAGTTGATGGTGTGTGATTTAATTTGGTCTTGGTATGATTCACTTTCTGAAATTGTGTCCCTACAGTTCAATAGGCATTTTGATATCTTCCAGAAACACAGATTAAATTTCTTACAAAAAAGTAGTTTGATTAATTTACAGAGGAAGGATTACCCATTAAAAAGGCATTGCTGGGTAGCAACATCTACTATTTATATGAGCCAAGGTGGTGGTATTCATTTGTTCAGTCGTGTCCAACTCTTTGTGATCCCATGGACTGCAGCACACCAGGCTTCCCTGTCCCTCACCATCTCCTGGAACTTGCCCAAGCTCATGTCCATTGAGTCAGTGAGGCCATCCAACCGTCTCATCCTCTGTTGTCCCCTTCTCCTCCTGCCTTCAATTTTTCCCAGCATCAGAGTCTTTTCCAATGAGTCAGCTCTTCACAACAGGTGGCGAAAGTACTGGAGCTTCAACTTCAGCATAGGTCCTTCCAGTGAATAATCAGGATTGATTTGCTTTAGGATTGACTGGTTTGATCTCCTTGCAGTCCAAGGGATTCTCAAGAGTCTTCTCCAATACCTCAGTTCAAAACTATCAATTCTTCAGTGCTCAGCTTTTTTTATGGTCCAACGCTGATATCCATACCATGACTACTGGAAAAAACATAGCTGAAAGTGAAAGAGGAGAGTGAAAAAGTTGGCTTAAAGCTCAACATTCAGAAAACTGAGATCATGGCATCTGGTCCCATCACTTCATGGCAAATAGATTGGGAAACAGTGGAAACAGTGTCAGACTTTATTTTTTGGGGCTCCAAAATCACTGCAGATGGTGATTGCAGCCATGAAATTAAAAGACGCTTACTCCCTGGAAGGAAAGTTATGACCAACCTAGACAGCATATTAAAAAGCAGAGACATTACTTTGCCACCAAAGGTCCGTCTAGTCAAGGCTATGGTTTTTCCAGTGGTCATGTATGGATGTGAGAGTTAAACTGTGAAGAAAGCTGAGCCCCAAAGAATTGATGCTTTTGAACTGTGGTGTTGGAGTAGACTCTTGAGAGTCCCTTGGACTGCAAGGAGATCCAACCAGTCCATCCTAAAGGAGACCAGTCCTGGGTGTTCATTGGAAGGACTGAAGCTGAAGCTGAAACTCCAATACTTTGGCTACCTCATGTGAAGAGTTGACTCATTAGAAAAGACCCTGGTGCTGGGAGGGACTGGGGACAGGAGGAGAAGGGGACGACAGAGGATGAGATGGCTGAATGGCATCACTGACTCGATGGACATGAGTTTGAGTAAACTCCGGGAGCTGGTGATGGACAGGGAGGCCTGGCGTGCTGCGATTCATGGGGTCGCAAAGAGTCAGACAGGACTGAGCGACTGAACTGAACTGACTGAACTATATGGACCTTTGTCGACAAAGTAATGTCTCTGCTTTTTAATACACCATGCATATTTTAACGATTGTGCTGAAATCACTTTGGTTGTTTTCACTTCCTCTACCCTTCACTTTGGAAGTGTTTTTGATTTTATAAATTTGTTATTTTCATTTTTGCCTTCTCCTTGAATGAAGAAGATAAATTTTGTTCCTGCATGTGTATCCACGTCATATTTTTTACTCTTAAAAATCCTTATTTGTGACTAAAAGACCCTTATCACTTGAGCTAATTCCATTCCTGCTTTCAAGGGTGGAGCACATGATGTAAGAAGAGCCCTATCACCCTATTGGTGCATTTCAGTGTCTGGCCAATGTGATTAGTAAGTGAAACACATGTGACTTAATCTAATTGGAATACAACTCAGAATTTGGTGAACATTTTGGGAGAAAGATACTCTTGTACCTCTGTATAATATGAAAGAAAACTTATGCAGACAAGTATCCAAGAGAAAGTATTTTGATACCATAAGAGAAATTCTATGAAGGAGGAGACAAAGTAGAAGACTGTAAAGACAAGGGAAAAAATGTGTGGCCTGACTTGGTGATAACACTGTAGTCATGGTTCAAGCATTAAGACGTGTTTGAGCTGGGCTTGCTGTTATTGAAACTAAAAGCATCTAAATGGAAATAAAAGTACTATATTTTTTATTCATGGAGGAATACATTTAAATGTCTGTTTTAATTGGAACTAAAAGTGTATGATATGTCCTTCCATAACTGTGTGAATTTCTAAGCCCTAGAGCTCCCTAGCTAAGATCAGAAATAAGCTCTCTTTGACTTCTAGTACAAATCCATTTTCTCTACCTCAGCATTTCCCCAGCTCATGTCCCTCAAATCACCTCCAAGAGTTAATAGGTTTTCCATGGAAATATTCCTTTGTGCTTGAATAAATTTGAAACTTTTATTTTGTACTTTAAACATATTCAGAGTAGTGTCCTTTCTGTGTAACATCTCAGGAACTTCAATACTCTAACATAGTAAATGAATCCACAGGAGAGAAATCTAAGTTCAACATTTCCCAGTCTTATGTAAACATCCCATTTTCAAAGCACACTTACTAATATTTTTTATATTAGGGCTCCAATGAACAGAACTTTCATAACCCCAGTCTTATTGTTTTCTTAATAGTTTGTATTATTTTTTAAAGATAGGCAATTTACCTTGTAAATTCTTTGTCTTTAATAATGTTATTTGATGTGATTTTGATATTTCAAGGGATAATGTTTTATGATATGATCTGCATGTCATAATCAGCTGTGTAATAGTTTTATTAATGTTTTTATATTTTATGCTAAAATATATTTAATTATCCTAAACATGCTCACTTTTTGATAGACAAATATTAGAGGTGTTTGTGTCAGGACAGCATTGGAAAAATGGATAATATTATTAGATGTGTTAAATTATTAATACCATCATTACTGGTAGATTGGACACTAGAGAAAGCAGAATAATAATATTGATACCCCAAGAGATCTAGAGAGAATTCACCGTGAATATTGAACCAACTATAGTGAGAAGGGTGAGGAATTTGAAGGTTCTCTTCTAGTGCGTGCTTGCTTGCTAAGTAACTTCAGTCATGTCTGACTCTTTGTGATGCTATGGACTGTAGCCCACCAGGCTCCTCTGTCCATGGGATTATCCAGGCAAGGATATTGGAGTAGATTGCCCTGCCCTCCTCCAGGGGATCTTCATGACCAAGGGTTCAAACCTGCATCTCTTATCTGTCTCCCACATTGGCATGTGGTTCTTTACCTGTAGCACCACAAGAATAAAAATACTTCACAACATTCCTTCTACATGTATCTAGTTTAGCAATGGAGAAAAGGAAATGGACATTTTCGTAAATTTTTTCAATCAATTTGTTTTCATGAATTACTTCTTCTATGTTTCAACCTCTATGGGATATTAAAAAGTATGCTGATTTTACTATGCTCTTGAGAAATTTGAATTATATGGACAAAAGAAGGTTGATATTCACAAAACCATTAGAGAACAGCATCTAATCAATTAGCGCTGTGAAAACACACACACACACACACACACACACACACACACACACACAAAACCAACCAAAATTACCATGAATTTATGTAGTTGGGAACATCTTCCCAGGAATACAACCTGGACTGAGGAATAGCATCTGGAATGATGGAGGAAATGATCACATCTCAAAGGAGAAAAAAATTTTCAGATATTCTGACACAGTGGATATCATTAACTCATTAAGCATTCATTTATGTATATTGACTATGAAGGATGTGTAGATGATGTATGTCCTTCGCTTATAAGCTGTTACCATTGACTCAGACACATTTCAGTAAAATTTTACTTCCTTAATCTCCTTTATAATTAATATCTTCAGTTATTTTCTGGACTTTGCTCATCAATCTTATGATTAATTCTAAGCAGTAAAATACAAAAGAAAAAATAATTCTAGTGCAAAGAAGATAAACACATACCATAGAACCTCTTTATTGAGCTTCTGATCATGGTTTGGAGAATTCAGCATTGATAATTACATATAAGGTAAAATTCACAGACCATTTTTTAAAATATGGGACTTTCAGCCAGTTCACTCAAAACTAGAATTCTTTTATTCAACAATGCATTTTTAAGACATACTATGTGGTAGCTGCTTAAGCAAAGAAAAGCCTGGTTTATTAGCAAAGTAGAGGAGTAAAAATCACCAGTTGCAGCACCATTCTTGTTAAAATGGCTTGAAATTTTCTTGGCAGTGGAATGTGTTTGAGATTTTAGAGACTGCTGCCCTGTAACTCTCTGGACCAGTGCTTCAATTATCACTTTTCACTTTGGGTGGCATAGATTTATCCCAGAAAGTATGATTATTAGGTAGTTTGTGCATCATTCAATATAAAGTATCTTTCAATAACTAGAGGTAACACATTTAAGCTGATCATCTAAAATGTAACAGACTTCCCTCTCACTAGTGATGTATAAACACAGGGCTTGGCTTATTTTGATTTTTTAAATTGTTATTGGAGAATAGTTGATTTACACTGTGTTATTTTATGCTGTACAGAAAAGTGAATAAGTTATACATATAAATATATCCACTCTTTTTTAGGTTATTTTCTCATATAGGTCATTAGAGAGTATTGAATAGACTTCTCTGTGCCCTATAGCGGGTCCTTATTTGTTATCTATTTTATATATAATAGTGCATATAATGTCAGTTCCAATCTCCCAGTTTATCCCTCCCCTCCCCTTTTCCACCTGGTAAACCACAAGTTCATTTTCTACATCTGAGAGTCTCTTTTTGTTTTGTAAGTTCATTTGTATCATTTTTCTAGATTCCACATATAAGCAATACCATACGATATTTGTCTTTCTATGTCTGACTTACTTCACTTAGTATGATAATCTGTAGGTCTATCCAAGGTCTATTCATATTGTTGCAAATGATATTATTCATTCTTTTTATGGGTGAGTAATATTCCATTGTATATAAATATCACATCTTTATCTGTTGCTCTGTCAATGAACAATTTCGGTTGCCTCCATATCTTGGCTATTGTAAATAGTCCCACAATGAACTTTGGGGTGCGTGTATCATTTAGAATTAGAGTTTTCTATGGATATATGCCCAGGGGTGGAATTGCTGAATGATATGTTTTATACTGGTGGCTTTGCAGTAAAGGATGTGCCTGCCAATGCAGGAGACCTGAGTTCAATCCCTGGGTTAGGGAAGATCCCCTGGAGAAGGAAATGGCAACCCACTCCAGTATTCTTGCTGGGAAATCCCATGGACAGAGGAGACTGACAGGCTACAGTCCATGGGTCACAAAGAGTCAGATATGACTTAGCAACTAACCAAACAATAACAACACAATGGGAGTTCTATTTTTAGTTTTTTAGGGAAATTCCATAATGGTTGTACCAATTCACATTCCCACCAACAGTCTAAAAGGGTTCCCTTTTCTCCACACCTCTCCAGTATTTATTGTTTGTAGATTTTTTTGATGATGGCCATTCTGACTGGTGTGAGTTGATAACCTCATTGCAGTTTTGATTTGCGTTTCTCAGATAACTAGTGATGCTGAACATCTTTTCATGTGCTTTTAGCCATCTGTATGTCTTCTTTGAAGAAATGTCTGTTTAGATCTTTTGCTCATTCTTTAATTATGTTGTTTCTTTTTTTGACATATAGTTGCATGAGCTATTTGTGTATTTTGTATATTAATCCCTTGTTAGTTGCTTTGTTTGCATTTTCTCCCATTCTGTGGATTGTTTTTTCATTTTAGTTATGGCTTTCTTTACTATGCAGAAGTTATTAAATTTAATTAGGTCCCATTTGCTTATGTTTGTTTTTATTTTAATTAGTCTAGGAGGTGAATTTTAAAAGATATTTTGACATTAATCATTGGTTTCTGCCTATGTTTTCCTCTAAAAGTGTTATAGTGTCTGGCCTTACCTTTGGGTCTGTGATCCATTTCAAGTTGATTTTTGTGTACAGTATTAGAGAATGTTCTAATTTTATTTTTTAGATGTAGCGGTCCAGTTTCCCCAGCACCACTTAGTGAAGAAACTGTCCATTCCCCTTTGTATATTTCTGCCACTTTTGTCATAGATTAGTTGACCACAGCTGTGTGAGTTTGTTTCTGAGTTTTCTATCCTGTTCCATTGATCTAGATGTCTGTTTTTGTACCAGTACCTTAATGTTTTGATTACCATAGCTTTGTAGTATAATCTGGAGTAGGATTGCTCTAGCTCCATTTTTCTTTCTTAGAATTTCTTCCTCTACTTGGGATATTTTGTGTTTACATATAAAATTTTAGGATTTTTTTTGTTCTAGCTTTGTGAAAAATGCCATTGGTACTTTGATAAGGATTGCATTCATCTCTTGATTGCCTTGGATAGTATATTCAGTTTGACAATATTGATTTTCCCAGTCCACAAACATGGTATATGTTTCCATCTGTTTGTGTCATCTTTGATATGTTTCATCTTTGCCTTATAGTTTTCAGAATAGAAGTCTTTCGTCTCTATAAGTAGGCTTTTTTCCCTAGGTACTTAGGTATTTTATTCTTTTCGATGCAATGGTAAGTGGGATTGTTTCCTTGATTTCTCTTTTTGATCTTTCATTGTTAGTGTATAGGAATGCAAGAGATTTCTGTGTATTAATTTTGTATCCTGAAACTTTACCAAATTCATTGATGAAATCTGGTAGTTTTTTGGTAGTCTCTATAAGATTTTTTTATGCATAATATCATGTCATCTACAAAGAGTGACAGTTTTACTTATTATTTTCCAGTTTGAATTCCTTTTATTTCTTTTCTTTTCTGTCTGCTGTGACTAGAACTTCCAAAACTATATTGAATAAAACTGGTGACAATAGACACCCACCCTTGCCTTGTTGCTGTCTTAGAATACTTCCAGCTCTTCACCATTGAGAATAATGTTAGCTGGGGTTTTTCATATATTTCCTTTATTGTGTTGAGATAAGTTCCCTCCATGCCCACTGTCTGGAGAGCTTTTATCATAAATGGGTGTTGAATTTTATTAAAATTTTTTTTTTTTACATCTACTGAGATGTATGGTTTTTACCTTCAATTTGTTAATGTAGTGTATCACACTGATTGATTTGTGGGTAGATGTTACCACTTCTATAAATGTTTGATAAAATTTGCTTGTGAAGCTGTTGGGTCCCGGACTTTTGTTTGTTGAGAGGTTTTTAATCACTTTCACTTTCAGTATTTGTGAATGGTCTGTTCATATTTTCTGTTTCTTCCTGGTTCAGTCTTGGAAGGTTTCACCTGTATAAAAATTTGTCTATTTCTTTTAAGTTGTCCATTTTATTGGCATAAAGAATTTGTAGTGGTCTCTTATGATCCTTTGTATTTCTATGATGTCCATTGTGACTTCTCCTTTTTAATTTCTAATTTTTATAGAGTTGAGCCCTCTCCCCTCTTTTCTTGGTGAATCTAGCAGAAGGTTTATCTATTTTATTTATCTTCTCAAAGAACCAGCTTTTAGTTTCAGTAATCTTTGCTATTGTTTTCTTCATCTGTATTTCATTTATTTCTGCTCTGATCTTTATCATTTCTTTCCTTCTACTAAGTTTGGGTTTTGTTTATTCTTTCTCTAGTTGATTTAGATGTAAGGTTAGGTTGTTTATTTGAGATTTTTCTTATTTCCTGAGGTTAACATTATGTTACTATAAACTTCCCTCTTAGAACTGCTTTTGCTGTGTCCAGAAAGGATTTGAATAGTTTTTTTTTTTTTTAATTTCTCTCTAGGTATTTTTTATTTCCTCTTTGATTTTTTCAGTGATCCATTGGTTTTTTAGTAAGGGCTTGGCTTATTGAATAACTAACAATCAGCACATCCATCTGCAGTGGGAAATATAGATGACAGAATTCCTGGGCATGGAGGTTGCATAGATAAAGTGGCCTTGATTACTCTTTTGAGTGGGAATTATTGTGATAAAAACAGAAATAAAGCAGTTCTATAGAGACAAAACCAAATTTCTCCCTCCAAAGAGCCTGTTTTAGACACAAGGGAAATGTATGTAGAGTGTGTACATGTGTCATGAACCTAAACAGCTAGATTTATTGAAATATTAGAAGGTCATGTGACAATATAATTAGAAGGATGGAAAAGAATCAGAAAAGGTATGTATCCATATAGCTGAATCACTGTGTTGTATACCTGAAACTAACATGACACAGTAAATCAACTATACTTCAATTAAAAAAAAAAAAAGAAATAAGAAGAGAGAGGCACAATGATGAAAGTCTAATAATGAAAGAAATGTAGAATTTTGTAAACATTGTGATTGTCTTCTCAACATTCACCCCTCCCCCACTTACTGATTAAGATCCTGAGAAGCAGTTGGAGGGCTTCATCCAAGACATTAGACCCATCTCCTTGACTATCATTGTTTCAGGAACTCTGGTCTAACCCAAAAAAATGAATCACATTCCTGGGATGGGAGGGAATAATTTCAGAAGGGGTGGGGGTGTGAAGACAGTATTTCCTTGAGAATTCTGAGGAAAATTTCCTTTTCTTAAATGTTAGCCACAAGAAAAGACAGAATCTGTTCTTCTGGACATGAATTTATCCTGTGCAAGAGTTATCACATTTACTGCTGTCTTTTTACTAGCTCAAGATGAAACTACACAGGAAGGAGGGTAAGGTCAAGAGGACTGGGAGCAAGGAGGCCAGAGATGTTGGATTCTATCATATCTGAGGTCTGCTCTAAACTGTACTCCCAGATTTCCTTTCTACTTAAGAAGAGTGGAGGTGAATTGTCTCATTTTTTTCAATTGAAAACATTTTAACTGATATAAAATCTGTATAAAAAAATTATGCCTATTTTCCCTGAAGCATAATGGTAGCACTCAAAAGCTAAAGAGACAAGTAATTTGGCTTAGATTACATTATTCAGGCCAATCCTAATTTAAAGAAGTACCTAAACTGGAATAAAATTACTTTTTTTTCAGAGTAGTACAATCCCTTTGGAACTGTCACTAACCCATTCTTTTTTCTTCTTTGTTACCAAGAGGAGTGCTTTTAAGATTTTAACATGCATACAGATTAACTGGAGTGGGACTTGAGATTTAATGTTTCCAATAATCTTTAAGTAATGTTGATGCAGTTGGTCTATGGGTCACACTTTCAGTTGCAAGGACCAAGTGGACTTCAGACTTCTGCAGTAGGAAAATCAACAACAATGAGTAATACTGGGCTCTGACCATGTTATTCCATTATATTAAAAAAGATCCAATGAATATTTCTGTGTAGAATCCAATCCTAAACAGAGTTGTGTATTTCACATTCATCACCATCTCAAGTATATATTAAAGAAATCTCTTCTCACAAATTCCTAATACCTTATGGGAAGGAGAGAGTGCTGGAGGAGAAACTTCCTGATTAAATTTTCTTTTCCCACTTAATTTGATCTTACTGAAGTAAATTGAATGACTATGCAAAAAATGGGAAAAACCATTAACACATAAATTGGGCAAAATAAACAATCCTCAGGTACTTACATGGATTTATATGAAAAAGCAATGTACATAATACAGTTACGCAAATAACTTAATCTATCTCACTTGGATAGTTTTAACTGGGCCCTCATCCAAGTGCTTTCATTGCCCTTATTAGTTGTCAACACATTCTAGATTCTCATTAATTATTTGTACTGTCCTTTTTATTTTTTGAGAAAAACAGTGCTTTCAATTGTGTGCTAAAGTGAAACACTATTAAAATAAAGAAATTTTATAAAAATGCAAATTTTGTGATATGGCCCCAATTAATATTTTAGAATGTTTTTTCCCTCTGTATTTGAAAGAAGCGACATATAATGATCATTATACTTTAACCACATTTGGGGGAATGCAAGAAAGGAATCCTTTCCTTTTATACTGCCCTCACCCATTTATACAAATGTATAATATGTAGGTATGTAATGAACCTTAATTTCAAAATATTTTTCTGACTATCTACTTGTATTAACTGGGGTAATTCGCAGCTATAACACCTTAGGCAAATATGTCTTAATATGATAGCAACATATTCTCACTCATGTTTCCTAACTGGGATTCTTTTGGCAAATGGGTAGCTTGCCTGCAGTTTGTTCTTTGGGGGACTTAGGTTTTCTTTATCTTTTGGCTTCTCTTCCCACCAAAGTCTTGAAACTTTCTGCATTCACACTGTGAAAGGCAAAGTGAGAGAAGAATACACCAAACTGTTAGGTGCCCTGGCCTAGAAGCAATATATCATTTCTACTAAAATCTTGCTATTATGAACCAGTCATATGTATTCTTGCATAGAGCTAGCAGATGTAGTCCATAGGTGGGAAGTTATTTCCCAGCACCAACAAAAAAATGAAAGGGGAAGCACAAATTTTGGTAGAGAGATTGCCCATCTCTGCTATATTATTATTTATACATTTTAATACATATTTTATACAAAATTTGTACATATTGTTTTTACTATTCATTCACTTTCAGTGCACTGGGCCAGGTCAGGAGACTCACTAGAAAGGTAAGTGAGACATTGACTATTATGTACTATCTAATGATGTAAACAGGAATGCAAACTTTAAAAAAAATGTAATAGTGTAGTGTGGTAAATACTAGGAGTTGAAAACACCAGAAAACAACATTTCATCAGAACTTTTGCTTTTTACATGGTATATTCTGATGATACTAGAAGAGAAACAGTAGATTTAGGAAAAAGAAGACTCGGAAGAAGTTACAATCATTAGGGTTTTACAAGAGCTTAAAGTTAGATATTGACAGCAGGAAGAGAGGTTAGATTCAAGAGTCATCTATTCAGTGATATTAAAAGGATGTGTACAATAAAAGAAGTAAAAGTTTCAACATGGCATGAGTCAGTGCTGACCTTGAGAAATTGAATGAATGACAATACTTATCCTTATAGGGAATTAAGAAGTTACAATAGAATTTGAGTGGGCGAATGTCAATTGGTTTATTTAGAAACACCCAGTGAGTGTATATGAAAGGTAGTCTATGTTTTGGTTTTCATATATCAGGAAAGTGATCAGAGATTGAAATATAATTCAACAGTATTAGAAGGGTAGCTAATGCTAAGAAGTTAGCTGAAACTATGAGGAAGAACATGTAGAATCAGAAGAGACAAAACCAAAATGGACTAAGAAAAAAAATCAAAATTTAGGATGCAAATGTAAAGAAAATGCGGCTTCCCAGGTGGCTCAGTGGTTAAGAATCCACCTGCCAATGCAGGAGACGTGGGTTTGATCCCTGGATCAGGAAGATCTCTGGAGTAGGTAATGGTAAGCCACTCCAGTGTCTTGCCTGGAGAATCCCATGGAAAAGGAGCCTGGCAGGCTATAGTCTATAGGGTTGCAAAGAGTCAGACATGACTGAAGCGACTTAGCACACATGCGAGCGTGCCAAATTTTTGTTCACTCAATGACAACAGATTAAGTAATTCAGTCTTTAGTGAAGTAAGTATATTTGAATGAACTGTCAATGGTTCTTGGTAGTTTTGTTGTTATAGATATTTCAATGTGACAAATACAATTTTCTATGTCAACTTGATTAGACCAAGAGATGCCCACATAGCTGGAAAAACATATTTCTGGGTATGTCTGTGAGGGTGTTTCTGGAGGAGATTAGCCTTGGAATTGGTGACTAAGTAAAGTAGATTGCCCTTCCCAATGTTGGTGGACATCATCCCATCTATGTAATGCCTGGATCAAACAAAAAGGCAGAGAAATGTTGAATTCTTTCTCTCTGCCTATTTGAGCTAGGATATAGGTCTTTTCTTGTCATTGGGTGGGGCCCTTGGCCCATCAGTCATCAGGCCTTTGAACTTAGACAGAGCTACACCACTAAATTTCCCGTCTTCAGATTGTAGATGACAGACTGTGGTATTTCTCAGTCTTCATAGTCATATGGGTCAATTCTTCATAATATATTTATGGATATCCTATTTCTTCTGTTTCTCTGGAGAACGTGAATACCAACATATTTAATAATCAATAAAATCCTTATCTTTCTTTTAAAATATGTGCATATGCACATGCATTGTTCCAACTAATTTCAGGATTTTATGGACTTCTGGAGACCCATATGTAGCACATAAAATCCAAGTTAAGAATTCTAACACTATGTACCTAAAGAGTTCAGATCCTAAGATAAGATTAAATAACACTGATGAATTGTTTCTTTTAGGGCAAGCAAATTCCCGAATATGTTTTTTTCAAGTGAAAAAATTTAAAGGAGATACATTGTTTTCATTTCCTTGATATAATATCTTTTATAAAATAAAGGACATCATGGAATTCAGGTTTTAAAATTTTGCTCACTTTGATTTTCTCTTCTGTAGGCAAACCCTGAACAAAAATACATTTTATTTTGGTGCTTTATAACCAGATATGTTATCTGCTATTCCTTTTAAAGTGACACTGTCAGCTTCATTATTGCTTCCTTTCATATTTGGTTTATTTATAATATTCTTCATTGAAGATACTGATTTTTCTTCCCTCATATTTTCTGTTAGTAAAATTTGACTTCTGATTCTTGTTTTCTGATTATTTCTAGTGTATTTGGAAAATAATATTAGAATGGATTGTTTATTATGCTCATTAAAGAAAACATTACTGTAAAAAATGATGTCAACAATGACCAACATGAACAAAGATAAATATTATATATTAATGACTAAGTCAACTAGAGGAAAACTAAAAAATAATAAGAAAAATTAGAGTGATTTCACTTAGAATAATAGAGTATTTACTGTAGTATGTTTTATGCTGTTTTATGGTGTTTATCCATTTTACTTTTAGACAATCAAAGTAACTCGTATTTTTTGTTTTCTAGAGGGATGTAGTCTAGTTTTTTACAAAGAAATTTTAATTACTCCTCCATTGCTACAGACCATTAGATATAAATTGATGTAGCTCAGGCATTTTAGCTAGTTTAATTCATTTTCTGTAGATTGTTATAATTAGTAAAAACATCAACTATAAAACATCACCTTTTCCAGTTCTCAGTCATTTTTCACATCTCAGCAAGTAATTTTTTAGTGAGATTTTTTGCTTGTTCATTTATTATATTTCATTTTTATCTCTTCGCAATGTTGTTGTTCAGTCGCCAAGCCTGCCTGACTCTTTGCAACCCTATAAATTGCAGCGCACCAGACTCCTCTGTCCTTCACTATCTCTCGGAGCTTGTGTAAACTATTGTCCATTGAATTGGTGATGCCATCCAACCATCTCATGCTCTGTCATCCCCTTCTTGTCCTGCCTTCTATTTCCAGCATCAGGGTCTCTTCCAACGAGTCAACTTTCTCATCAGGTGGCTGAAGTATTGTAGCTTCAGCTTCAGTATCAGTCCTTGAATAACCAGTTCTTGAATTCAATCAACATCATTGAATACTCATGCAGGGCTGATGTCCTTTAGGACTGGCTGGTTTGATCTCCTTCCAGTTCAAGGGACTCTCAAGAGTCTTCTCCAACATGACAATTCAAAAATATCAATTCTTTAGTGCTCAGCAGTTTTTATGGTCCAACTCTCACATTTATACATGATTACTGGAAAAACCATAGCTCTGACTATGTGAACCTTTGTCAGCAAAGTAATGGCTCTGCTTTTGAATATGCAGTCTAGGTTTGTCATAGCTTTTTTCCCAAGGAGCAAGCATCTTTTAATTTCATAGTGGCAGTCATTGTCCACAGTGATTTTGGAGCCCAAGAAAATGAAGTCTGTTACTGTTGCCATTGTTTTCCCATACTGTTGCATTGTTTTCCCATCTATTTGCCATGGAGTGATGGGAATGGATGCCATGAACTTAGTTTTTTGAATGTTGAGTTTTAAGCTCACTTTTTTACTCTTGTCTTTCACTTTCATCAGGAGGCTCTTTAGTTACTCTTTCTTTTCTGCCTTTAGGGCAGTATCATCTGCATATCTGAGATTATTGATATTTTTCCCAGAAATCTTGATTCCAGCTTGGGATTCATCCAGCCTAACATTTCACATGATGCACTCTGTATATAAGTTAAATAAGCAGAGTGACAATATACAGCCTTGACATACTGCTTTCCCAATTTAGAACCCGTTTTTGTGCCATATCCAGTTCTAATTGTTGCTTCTAGACCTGCATACAGGTTTCTCAGCAGACAGGTAAGGGGGCTGGGTATTCCTATCTCTTAAAGAATTTTCCACAGTTTGTTGTCATCCACACCGTCAAAGGCTTTAGTGTACTCAGTGAAGCAGAACAGATGTTTTTCTGCAATTACCTTGCTTTCTCTGTGTCCGTTAACATGTTAACAATTTGATCTCTGGCTCCTCTGCCTTTACTAAACATAGCCTGTACATCTGGAAGTTCTCTACAGTTTCACATACTGTTGAAGCCTAGTTTGAAGAATTTTGAGCGTAAACTTGCTACCATGCGCAATAAGCACAGTTTGTTTGAACGTTCTTTGAATTTGCCCTTCTGTGGGATTGGAATGAAAGCTGACCTTTTCCAATCCTGTGGCCACTGAGTTTTCCAACTTTGCTGGCATGTTCACTGCAGCACTTTAACAGCACCATCTTTTAGTATTCTGAATAGCTGAGCTGGAATTTCATCACCTCCACTGGCTTTGTTTGTAGTAATGCTTCTTAAGGCCTACTTGATTTCATACTCCAGGATGTCTGGCTATAGGTGACTGACCACACTATCATTATCCTAATCGTTTAGACATTATTTTTGTATATTACTTCTGTGTATTCTTGCCATCTCTTCTTAACCTCTTTTGCTTCTGTTAGCAATACTTATCCTGTTTAGACTAGTGATTTCTATGCACCTTAACTTCAGAGTGTCAGGCACGTGGAGACACTGAAAGAGACAATTGGTCAAAATACTCCAAGAAGAGTTTACTATTTTATCCTTAACCACCAAAGGTAACATCTCATTTCTACTCCACCCACAAGTAGGACAACCTGAGTTGCTGATTCAATAGTCATTCATATAGACATTGTTCTATTTAGTTCATTTTCATTAAATGATAATCATATGCTCAGCACTGTTTTGGGAACTGAAGAGCAACTAGTTAAAGATACATATATTAAGTACTAAAAATATAGAGAAATTCATATTCCCTCATCTTAATACAAACTCATATTTCAGTATCCGTTCATTCGACCAGTAAACACTTCTACTTGAAGTGTCTAATCTCTCCATGTGCCCACTCAATCAACATTTTCCAGTTTTCCTTTATTTAAGCTGACTAGATCCCTCTTTGTAGAAGCAGTCTTGTACTTAGAGCAGTAACTTTATTTTAAAGACATATTTTTTAGAGCATTTTTAGTGTTCACCACAAAATTGAGAGGATGTACAAAGGTATCCAGTTGCATGGCTTGTCTTTTAATTCTATAGTTTTTTTTTTTTTTTTTTACTGCACAGAAGTTTAGTTTTAATGAAGTTCCAGTTCATGGATTGTGTCTTCAGTGTTATACCTAAACAGGCAACAACATCTGTGTAGTCATCCAGGTTTTCTCCTATATTATCTTTTG